GAACTTACACAAATTTACAAGAAAAAAAATCAAATAACCCTATCAAAAAGTGGTCAAAGGATATGAACAGACAGTTCTCAAAAGGAGACATTTATTCAGCCAACAGACACATGAGAAAATGCTCACATCACTGGCCATCAGAGAAATGCAAATCAAAACCACAATGAAATACTATCTCACACCAGTCAGAATGGTGATCATTAAAAAGTCAGGAAATGACAGGTGCTAGAGAGGATGTGGAGAAACAGAAATACTTTTACACTGTTGGTGGGACTGTAAACTAGTTCAACCATTGTGGAAGACAGGGTGGCGATTACTCAAGGATCTAGAACTAGAAATAGCATTTGACGCAGCCATCCCATTACTGGGTATATACCCAAAGGTTTATAAGTCATGCTACTATAAAGACACATGCACACATATGTTTATTGTGGCACTATTCACAATAGCAAAGACTTGGAACCAACCCAAATGTCCATCAATGATGACTGGATTAAGAAAATGTGCACATATATCACCATGGAATACTATGCAGCCATAAAAAAGGATGAGGTAATGTCCTTTGTAGGGACATGGATGAAGCTGGTAACCATCATTCTGAGCAAACTGTTGGAAGGACAGAACCAAACACCGCATGTTCTCACTCATAGGTGGAATTGAACAATGAGAACACTTGGACACAGGGCAGGGAACATCACACACCAGGGCCTGTCGTGCGGTGGGGGAGGGGGGAGGGATAGCATTAGGAGAAATACCTAATGTAAATGACGAGTTAATGGGTCAGCACACCAACATGGCACATGCAATACATATGTAAAGAAACCTGCACATTGTGCATATGTACCCTAGAACTTAAAGTCTAATAAGAAATAATAAATAAAAGTAACAAGAAAAAGGTTTAAAATCACATTACCTTACATCACAAGAAACTAGAGGAAAGTAAAGCAAATTAATCCAAAATAAGTAGAAAAAAGGAAAAAATAAAAGGAAAAATGAAATATAAGATGAACAAACAATAAAGAAAATCATAATATCAAAGTTTAGATCTTTGTAAAGTTTAATAAAATTGATAGCCCCTTAGCAAGATAATCAGAAAAATACATAAATTAACAAAAAGTTTTAAAAGGAGTGAAAAGAGGTTTATCACTACTGACTATAAGCATTGAAACTGATAAAACTTTATACGAATATATTGGCAAATTTAAGTGAAATACAAATGTCTTAAAAACACAAATGACCAAACGAAAGAAGAAATTAAAAACTAAATAGCCTAATACCTGTTAATAAAATTATATTCATAGTAAAAAACCTTTCCCCAAAGAAAACTTCAGGCTCAGGTGGCTTTTCCATTTAAGGAAGAAATAGTACCAATCCTACACAAGCTCCTTCAGAAAAGAAGTAATACTTCTCAACTTGTTTTATAAGACTAGCATTATCCTGATAAAGTATTAAGGCAAAAAAAAAATTAAAAGATCAGAAAAGAAGTAAAGCTGTCATTATTCACAAGCAACATGTTTGCGTGTGTGAAGAACCCTATTAAAAATACTACTCAAACTAATAAATGAATTTAGCAAGGTTATAGATCCAAAAATTGACTGCATTTCTATATACACTCAATAAACAATTGGGAAATGTTTTAAAATTTACAGACATTTTAAAAAGATCAGATATGAACAGATCTAACAAAAGATGTGTAAGACCTCTCCACAGAAAACTACAATATTGCTGAAAGAAATGATGATGACATAAAAAATGGAAAGCTATACCATATTCATAGATAAGAAGGCATAATATTGTTTAAATGTTCATTTTTCCTAAGTTGATCTCTAGATATGATGCAATTCCCATAGAAATCCTAGCAGGCTTCTTTGAAGAAAGAAAAAACTCAATCTAAAAGTTATATGGTAATGCAAAGAACCTAAAATAGCCAAAACAATCTTTTTTTTTTTTTTTTTTTTGATATGGTCTTGCTCATGCTGGAGTGCAGTGGCACGATCTTGGCTCACTGCAGCCTCCACCTCCTGGATTCAAGTGATTCTCCTGCCTTAGCCTCCTGAGTAGCTGGGATTACAGGTGCCCACCACCATGACCGACTAATTTTTGTATGTTTAGTAGAGACTGGGTTTTACTATGTTGGCCAGGCTGGTCTCAAACTCCTGACCTCATGTGATCTGCCCACCTCAGCCTCCCAAAGAGCTGGCATTACAGGCGTGAGCCACTGTGCCCGGCCAAGACAATCTTTAAAAAGAACAAAGTTGGAAGATTTACACCATCCAATTTCAAGATTTCTGTAAAGCTCCAGTATCAAGAAAGTGTGGTATTGTTGAAACCTAGACAAACAGACCAATGGAACAAAACAGAAAGTATATAAATAGAACCACATGCATATGGTTGATTGATTTTCAACAAAGTGGTGAAGTCAATCCGATTGGGAAGGGAAAGTCTCGTTAAGCGTTGCTGGAACATAAAACTGAATCTTGACTCTTCTTTCACTCCATAAGCAAAAAATTATTTCGAGACAGATCACAGACCTCAGTACAAAAATCTTATCTATAAAGTTTCCAGAGAAAAATATAATATCTTTCTGACTTGAGTCATGCAAAATTTTTTTGATAAAGACCCACACACAAGCTGTAAAAGAAAATACTGATAAACTGGACTCTATCAAAACTAAAAATTCTACTCATAAAGGACATCATTAATAAAATCATGTTTTGACAAAGCTCTTGTAATTCGAATATATAAGGAACTCCTAAAAGTCAACAATATAATGGCAAGGTTGCAGGATACAAGGTCAATATAGAAAATTGGATTGTATTTCTATATACAATTATAAAGGCAAGTAATTCAATTTAAAAACTAAGTAAAAGATGTGGACAAATACTTCAGAAAATAAGATATACCAATGGCCAATAAGCATATGAAAAAGTGCTCAACTTCATTAGTTATCAGGGAAATGCAAATTAAAATGACAATAAAATATTATTTCATACCCATTAGAATGGCTAAAATTTAAAAATCTGTCTACCCTAAATGTTAGTGAGGATGTGGAGCCCCTGGAATTCTCATACACTGTTGGTGGTATTGTAAAATGGTAACATCTCTTTGGAGATCTGTTTGGCAATTTATAATAAAGTTCACATATACTTAATCTGTGACCCAAGAATTCCACTCCTAATATGTATCCAACATAAATGAGAACATACGTTCACAAAAAAACTTGTACATGAATGTTGATAGCAGCTTCATTCATGACAGTCCCATACTGGAAGCAACCTGACTATCCATTAACACGGAACTAGATAAACTGTGCTATCTGTGTACAATGAAATACACTCAGCAATAAAAAAAAGGACAAAATTCTAATACACGTGACAATATGGCAGGATCTCAAAACTATATTGACAGAAACTTTACTCTGAAGAGTACATTCATTTATGTGAATCTCCATAGTGGACAAAGTTAATCTATAGTGATAGAAATCAGAAAGTAATTGTGGGGGTTGGGGGATTGATTGGAAAAAGATATAAAGAAACTTTCTGGGGTGATAAAAAATGTTCTGTATCTTGTGTGGGGCAGTGGCTACACAGGTTGTACATTTACCAAAAATCATGCACCAAACATTTAAGATCTGTATTTTATGTTCACCTCTCAATTAAAGAATTAAACGCCGTTATTTTTTAAAAGAGCAGAAAATGAGAAGGGTAATTATAAATAGGGAACAAAGGTAGGAATTAACAGATATTTTCCTGAATGGAGACCTCTATACCATTAAGTCCAAACAGGATCAGCAATTTTATTTAACACTTTTATAAGTGATTTGGAAGATCTTCAAGTGTGTAGATGCCACTGATCTGTTTCTGGTGGGGCCAAGCCAAAAATACAACACTGTCTCTAGAGTAAGGCAAGTTTTTATTTTTTATTTATTTTGAGATGGAGTCTCACCCTGTCAACCAGGCTGGAGTACAGTGGCGTGATCTCGCCTCACTGCAACCTTTGCCTGCTGGGTTCAAGTGATTCTCCTGCCTTAGTCTCCCGAGTAGCTGGGACTACAGGCGTGCACCACCATGCCCAGCTAATTTTTTAATTTTTTTAGTAGAGATGGGGCTTTACCATATTTGCTAGGCTGGTCTTGAACTCCTGACCTCATGATCCACCTGACTTGGCCTCCCAAAGTGCTAGGATTACAGGTGTGAGCCACTGTGCCCCGGAGGCAAATTTTTAAATTTCAGGTCATGATCCATTGGCGGGTGGTGAGATCAACTTAGTAAGTCAAGACGTGAATATTTTTCTTTTAATAAAACAGATGAGACTAAACTAGAAAATATCAGAATGCATGTAATAAGAGTGAAATATTGTTCTGTGAAATTTTTGTCTGAAATGCATTGGATTTTTTTTTTTTTTTCAGACGGAGTTTTGCTCTTGTTGCCCAGGCTGGAGTGCAATGGTGTGATCTCCGCTCACTCACCACAACCTCTGCCTCCTGGGTTCAAGCAATTCTCCTGTCTCAGCCTCCTGAGTAGCTGGGACTGCAGGCGCCCGCCACTGTGTCTGGCTAATTTATGGTATTTTTAGTAAACTCGGGTTTCACCCTGTTGGCCAGGCTGGTCTCGAACTCCTGACCTCAGATGATCCGCCCGCCTTGGCCTCCCAAAGTTCTGGGATGACAGGCATGAGCCACCACACTCGGCCTGATTGACTTCTTTCTAAGTGGCTTAATTTTTTTTTTTTTTTTCTTTTTTAAGAGAGCAATGGTTACTCAGGAGTATAGGAGAGAGAGTAGTGGTCACTTATTGCTATAGCCCAACCAAGCCTTGGCTGCCCTATGCTTAAATATACTTAAGATGTGTGTAAAGACACACGTGTGTGTATTGAGACATGATGTAAAATGCATTTCTTACTGTGAGTTGAGATAAAAATTTTTGAGGTTTCATAAGCAGGTAAAAAGTGGTATCTGAGCAAGCAAGTTGTGGGGATGAATAGGGGAGCTTGGAGCTCTAAATTCTTGCACAGGAAGGGCCCAGGAGTTACTATAGATAGTAAGAGTATAGACTCATTCAGCACACAGTGTAAGGCCACCAAGAAGCTGAGTCCCAATAGGAAAGAAAAGAAAGATCCCATCTTTCTCTTGTACAAAATTATGTTCTTTCCCCACTTAGAAGAGACAAAACAGCAGGGATGGCTACAAAATGGCAGGATTACCCAGTCAGTGCAGCTGCTTAGTGCCACACTGCACTACTCCAGAGGGTGCTCTCACACAGACTGCAATGTGAGTAGCTCCCCCTGGAGTTGAGCGGTGCACAACCCAAACAACCCTACCAGGCAACCATAAGTATAGTGATTAAGAGCACAAGCTTTGGAGTCCAACAAACCCGGGGGCTTGTCTCAGACTGAATCCCAGACTATATAACCTGGGGCAGGTTATTTAGCCTCCTTGAACCTCAGTTTTCCAAACAGAATATGTTATACATCCCTAGGCTCTATTTCAGTGTCTGGCATTGAATAACAATAAATATGTGTTAAATGAATTGAGCTAATACTAGTACCTGCCTATAAGGTGCTGGTGAGGAGCAAAGAAATTGACATATGAAAGGTTTTTAATATCTACAAAAGATGACAGACTGAAATAGTAACATTCTCCAGGATGGAAAGATACATGCCAGGTAGGAATTGTTTGTTCAAATTGCTATTTTTTAAAAGCTATAAGCTATGGAGAGAACAACAGATTTTTTTTTTTTAATCCGGATACGGTGGAACTCTGGTAGGATGTGAACAGTTCTTGAAGCTTGAGAATACATTTGGAACAAATAAAAAGTAGGAAATGCATACATGTTATTTACAGTTGTAGGGCAGGTAGGGGCAAAATGTGTTGATAAACTCAAAGAATTTTAAGAATGATATTGTCATGAGCCATGAGCCATGGAAGCTGCAGAGTTTGGGCTCACTCCTGCCATCGGGTGAGGGGTGTCAGCGGAAGGGGGTGTGTGTCCTTTCCTCTCCCAGTGTTTATTTCCTAGTGGAACCGTGGTTTTGACGCAGTCATGACAACTCTTCATCCTTATTAAAGTCACACAATGAAGCAGGTCGCCCAAGATTGAAAGCACGTTTCCAGGGCGGACTCCGGTTCCTGCCTTTGGCCAGCAAAAGTACATTCTGGCAGGGAGGGATCTCTGAGCCCCGAAGTGAGGTCATGCCAGTTAGCAGTTAGAAAAGGAGGCATTTCTCACACTTGCTAATGAGTTTGACGCTTGTGAAATATAAACAGGAAGTGGGAGCTCTCCAAGGCGACCTGAAGGAAATACACTCCCAGTTTGGTCAACTTGTGAATGCCAGTTCTCTAGGTCGTCAAGGACACTGCCAGTTAAGACTGACTCCCTAACTGCACCCGAGGCTACTCTTCACCCAGTCTCAGCAGTGACCCCATTTTTTTTTTCAATCCTTCCCACTGCCAGGTCACTCAGCAGCGCGGTGACTGACCCAAAGCGCAGTGGGAAAGGCTTACAGTCATCTCTCAACTCCCCGAACTTGCAGGGCAGGGGAGCGCAGAGGTCAGTGAAATCCCCAGCCAGGCCTTATTTTAGTCATGAGTTTCCACTGGCTCCCTCCTCTGACTGTATCAGCGCTGCTCACAACGCGGGATTGGAGTTTCAGCTGTTTTCCCTGCTCCAGGCTGAGTGAGAAGGTCACAGAGCCCGGACTTTTCCGGGGGAGGTGGGTGGGGCCCTCCGGCAGCCTAAGTGAGATTGCAGAGATCTGGGGCCGTTGGAGGAGGTCTTTCCGCCCCTGGCTCGGGACTTTGGGTTAGCTTCTCCCCCGCTTCTCTACCTAGGCATCTTGGTTAGAATTGAATTAAATTAAAAACACAAAGCAACACAAGTTCTCATTTTTTTTCCCTCTGTCAGCCAGTGGCCTCGATACAATTTTCCCAGGGCTGCCTTTCCTTTATTGCTCAATTTATCCTCTTCCTAGAGGTTCTGTAAGTTCAAGGGCAGGATCCGTGTCGGATTCATCAACAAGCACAGCGCCTAGCACAGAGTAGGGGGCTCAACAAATATGTGTCGACTGCATGATTGCTAATATTTCACTGTGTAACAGGCGGTTTTATTTCTTGTCTCTCTCATCCCTCCTGCCCTGGGTGCAGACCGCAAACAGCGCCGCCGAAGTTCTCAACAGGCAGGGAGAGGGCCGATCCGGGTTGGCACACCACGTCCCCGGGGTCTCAGTCCCTGGGTCAACGCAGAGGGGCTCGCGGTCCGCGGCGCTGCGACCTGAGCCCCGGCCACGTGAAGCGTCACGCCCTGCGCTGCTGCAGGGCAGGCGCCGCCGCCGCGGTTGTGTAACGCTGCAGCCGGAGGGGAGGCGACCCGGGCGCCTCTGCTCTGGAGGGGGCAGAGGAGGGAGGGAACACCGGGCACCGTGCCCGGTATCTTTCTGTGCTTGACTGGCCGGGAGGAAGGGGGTGACACTGGGGCACCCAGGGGGCTGCGCAACCAGGTGCCCGCCCGCCCGCAGGCTGTGCCCGGGAGCGGAGCTCCTGGGGAGCGAGGGGCCCTCGGCTCACACCCTCCTCGGTCAGGTGCGCGCGGCGTGCTCGCCGGCAGCCTCAGCTGCCCCTGCGCTTGGCTGTCTGCCCGCTTCCCATGGGGTGACATCCGCCCCGCCCCTCGGTCCCTCCCCAAGGCGGGCAATTCCTGGACGCGAGGGTGAGCAGTGGGGGCAGGGAAGCCAGGACGGAAAGAAACCCCAGCCTCTGGGGAAGGCTGGGGGGCCGGGCGACTCCCTCCGCTGCGCGCCGGTTCCTCCAAGCGGGCCGGGCGGGGGAGGAGGAAGAGGGCTGGGCTGGAGCTAGCAAGGGGATATTCCTCTCCCGGCTTGAGTCAGACGCGGGCGGATCCGTCCTCCCCCGTTCCCTCCCAGGAGACGGGAACTTACTTCATTTCCCTGGGGCAGGTTCGCCCACGTTACCAACTCTCCCCCTCCCCCAGCACCCCCGTCCCTTCCAGCTTCCGCGCCCCCCACCCAACTGGGCAGGACCCAGGTTGCGCTGCCACCCCCTCTTCGGGGAAAGGCGGCCGCAGCCGCAGACACCTGGGGGCCGGGGCTGGGGGTGGGGGCTCCCTAGCAGCCGCCGGAGCGTTGTCCAACACGTGAGACTCATGTGATGAAGCCGGGGGAGGGCGGGCAGGTCGCTCCTTCCCTCCCCGGCAGTGGCCAGACGTGCCTGGAGTCACAGGGTAGAACACGTAGCTCCAACCCACCCACTCGCTCCCATTTAACCCAGCCCGCAGCCTCTCCATTACTCCTCGGCTTGTGCCCCCACCCCCCCCCCTCCGCCCTAACCGCCCCCCCCCCCCCGCTCCCTCCCGCCTCCCCGCCCGCCCCACTTCTCATTCACTTGGCTCGCAAGGCGCAGACCGCGCAGGGAGCACACACCGCCAGTCTGTGCGCTGAGTTGGAGCCAGAGGCCGCGGGGACACCGGGCCATGCACGCCCCCAACTGAAGCTGCATCTCAAAGCCGAAGATTCCAGCAGCCCAGGGGATTTCAAAGAGCTCAGACTCAGAGGAACATCTGCGCAGAGACCCCCGAAGCCCGCTCCAGGACAGTCCTCATCCAGACGCTCCGCTAGAGCAGACAGGAGCGCGCAGTGGCCCCGGCTCGCCGCACCATGGAGCGGATCCCCAGCGCGCAACCACCCCCCGCCTGCCTGCCCAAAGCACCGGGACTGGAGCACGGAGACCTACCAGGGTAAGTTGGCACTCCTTGGCCCTTCAAGCCTCAACTCCAGCCCCATGTTATGCGCCACTCTCAACTTGGAGCAGCTCCGGGCGCACCGGGGGGTTCTTGCCCGGCAGAACGCCTGCAGCCGTGCGCAAGCAGTCACGACCCTTCCTGGTCTCTCTTCCTGCAGGATGGATTTTGCCCACATGTACCAAGTGTACAAGTCAAGACGGGGAATAAAGCGGAGCGAGGACAGCAAGGTAAGCAAGTGCACCCCTGGGGACCCTGCGCTCAGCCCCTCGCGCGCGCTGAGTTTCCAAGAAAAGTTTTCTCGCTTTGAGGTTGGCGAGGGGATGCAGGGTGTGGGCTCGGTGCCTCTTCTGAGTGACTTGGAAAAGAAGGGGCAGATGATGGTTCTGGGTGCTATTCTGCTCCTCTGCCGGACTCGTGCTGCGGGGCTGGGAGGATAGGCTTCTCATCTCCTTCCCCAAGCGCCCACCGCCTCCCCGTGCGTCTTGCAGGAGACCTACAAATTGCCGCACCGGCTCATCGAGAAAAAGAGACGTGACCGGATTAACGAGTGCATCGCCCAGCTGAAGGATCTCCTACCAGAACATCTCAAACTTACAGTAAGTGAGAAGCTGGCCCCTTTCCAACCCAGTCCTTTGCCCAGAGGGCGGGCGGGGGTCACTCGCCGCCTGCAGGTTCCGCGGGGAACTGCAGACCAGACGGGCGGATCAGAGCTGCCGGGTGGCTCTGTGGTGGGGTCCTCCTCCACAGTCCTGGCGTTTTCTGGCTGACTCATGCAAATGAGGCGAGAACCGCTTGGACCTCTCCAAGTTGGCTCCAACACCAACTGGCCTTCCTTTTCAAGAGTTTAACTTCTGGTGATTTTCAGGATTCCCTAGTTTTTCTAACTTAAAGGAACACGCCAAGCAACACACACATTTACCCCTTTCCCTCCACCACTCCCCCCACCTTTTTTGTTGTTGTTAAATAAGTGGACTTGCTTTGGTGTGTGATTTTTACGGCCTGTCCTTTCTTGACAGTAGCCCTCAGCTACTTGGCAGCCTTTGGTTGGGGAAATGGAAAAAAAAAAAAAAGTATTTCGGGAGGAACAAAAAAGCCTGAATGAGCTGGAAGTTCTGAAAGGGTGTAAGGAAAGAAGTAGGGAAAGCCTATTGGCTGCCAGACATAATAGAGGTCCCTCTCTGAGTTGACACCCCTGCAGAAAAATGTTATCTCTGGATTCCCCTGAGTTAAGGTCAGCAGAGGCTGCTGGAGAAATTTATCTGTCAAAGCGTTTTCTTGAGGTAGTTGGAGCTTCCAAAATGCCTCCAAAGAGAGATGGCACCCTTTTTTAAATTATTTAATCATATATATTTTATATATATGTGTGTTAGAACAGCCAACGAAGAAAGACTATCCACTTTTTTTTTTTTCTTTTAGAGACATTTCTCTTTGCTAAGAAATGTCCCAAAGGTGGGACTTCTTTGACCTCACCGCTGACTAAGGCTCTTTTCCTTCTAGACTTTGGGTCACTTGGAAAAAGCAGTGGTTCTTGAACTTACCTTGAAGCATGTGAAAGCACTAACAAACCTAATTGATCAGCAGCAGCAGAAAATCATTGCCCTGCAGAGCGGTTTACAAGCTGGTGAGTGCTGATTCTGGCTCTCCTCTCTTTAAGAGTTTGAGCACAAATAGAGAGCCTGTGGGCTCAACATCTGATGGAATAAACATTACTGCAACAAATTGCTTATGCACCTTCATTGGGGGAGATGCAGTTTTATCTTTCCTAAAAGGTCAGACTTTTCATTTGAAATGCAGTGTGCCACCTGGCATGAATACGTATTAGTGAAATGATAAGATATTCCTGTGGCATTTTAGCTTGAGAGTCTCTGGGTTCTGGGAGATTTCCCTACTCCCTTTTAAAATGCCAAGGCACCTATAATTTGCCTTGTGGGTGTTTTACAGTTGGTCTTCTTAGCCCTCTTTCATTGGAGAAGAAATCGTGGGTATGCCCCAGTGTTTTCCTGTTTCTTTGCTTCCTTGTCACTTGGTGTGTGGTGTGATCCTGGCAGGATACAGCAGGAGTTTTTCCTGCATTTCATGTGGTTCCCTGAATAGCCACTAGGTATCTTGGTGAATTGCACAATCTAGCGAAACCACTGAAGTTTCATCATTCGTTTCAACAGACTTCCAGATAATCGGAGTCACCTAACCTTCTAGTCTCACTTCTTCCAAATAATACTGTACTGACTGGGGAGAATTATTCTGCCCACTCCCTCATTTCATTCTCTGCCTTCCTCTCCAAGGCTCGTATGATGAAAATTGCAAAAACCCAGCAAATGCTTCTGCCAGTTTCCTCATTAAAAATAGGAAGATGGTCATACCTAATGTCTTGAGGATCATGGATAGAATATGTGGAAAAGATATAGAAATAGAGAGCCTAATTAAAGATCACAGCATGACTGCAACTTTTACAAGTCATTGAAAATAAGTTTACTTTAGGTGATTATTGTTGCTTCAATCTTTTCCTCATTTTATAACTATCTGGCGTCTGCCCATTTTGCCACGGTGCAATGTTGTATGCATTGACTCAGGTTTATGAATACATCAGAATGTTCTTTGCTGCTTCACTTACATGGAAAACTCACAAACCACCTATACATTCCAAAAGAGGGGAAGCAGCTCATCTCTATTAATTATGGTCCATTTCCATGATAGGATATTATGCAAACATTAAAAATCGTATTTTATCTGAGTGTTAGTATATGGATTATTTTAATTTAATTATTTATACTTTTCAGTGTAATTCTTCTCTGAGCATACTACTTTTGGAGTTAGGAACACAAATCAGTAAATGCGATTTCTTTTTTTAACAAAAACGAAAGCACCTGGTTTTTTGGCGTATAGGTATCCAGGTGATCCACAGGGCCTTCTGAAACATTTTCCTTTGGATTTTTGTTTCCCTAGGTGAGCTGTCAGGGAGAAATGTTGAAACAGGTCAAGAGATGTTCTGCTCAGGTTTCCAGACTTGTGCCCGGGAGGTGCTTCAGTACCTGGCCAAGCACGAGAACACTCGGGACCTGAAGTCTTCGCAGCTTGTCACCCACCTCCACCGGGTGGTCTCAGAGCTGCTGCAGGGTGGTACCTCCAGGAAGCCATCAGACCCAGCTCCCAAAGTGATGGACTTCAAGGAAAAACCCAGCTCTCCGGCCAAAGGCTCGGAAGGTCCTGGGAAAAACTGCGTGCCAGTCATCCAGCGGACTTTCGCTCACTCGAGTGGGGAGCAGAGCGGCAGCGACACGGACACAGACAGTGGCTACGGAGGAGAATCGGAGAAGGGTGACTTGCGCAGTGACCAGCCGTGCTTCAAAAGTGACCACGGACGCAGGTTCACCATGGGAGAAAGGATCGGCGCAATTAAGCAAGAATCCGAAGAACCCCCCACAAAAAAGAACCGGATGCAGCTTTCGGATGATGAAGGCCATTTCACTAGCAGTGACCTGATCAGCTCCCCGTTCCTGGGCCCACACCCACACCAGCCTCCTTTCTGCCTGCCCTTCTACCTGATCCCACCTTCAGCGACTGCCTACCTGCCCATGCTGGAGAAGTGCTGGTATCCCACCTCGGTGCCAGTGCTATACCCAGGCCTCAACGCCTCTGCCGCAGCCCTCTCTAGCTTCATGAACCCAGACAAGATCTCGGCTCCCTTGCTCATGCCCCAGAGACTCCCTTCTCCCTTGCCAGCTCATCCGTCCGTCGACTCTTCTGTCTTGCTCCAAGCCCTGAAGCCGATCCCCCCTTTAAACTTAGAAACCAAAGACTAAACTCTAGGGGATCCTGCTGCTTTGCTTTCCTTCCTCGCTACTTCCTAAAAAACAACAAAAAAGTTTTTGTGAATGCTGCAAGATTGTTGCATTGTGTATACTGAGATGATCTGAGGCATGGAGAGAAGATTCAGGGTGTGTGTGTGTGTGTGTGTGTATGTGTGTATGTGCGCGTGCGTGCACATGTGTGCCTGCCTGTTGGTCTAGGACTTTAAAGCTTCTTTTGGCATAGGGAAGTCACTAAGGATTGCTTGACATCAGGAGACTTGGGGGGATTGTAGCAGACTTCTGGGCTTTTCCCCACCCAGAGAATAGCCCCCTTTGATACACATCAGCTGGATTTTCAAAAGCTTCAAAGTCTTGGTCTGTGAGTCACTCTTCAGTTTGGGAGCTGGGTCTGTGGCTTTGAGCAGAAGGTACTTTCAAAGGAGGGCTTTCCAGGGCTCAGCTCCCAACCAGCTGTTAGGACCCCACCCTTTTCCCTTTATTGTCGACGTGACTCACCAGACGACGGGGAGAGAGCAGTCAGACCGAGCTTTCTGCTAACATGGTGAGGTAGCAGGCACTGGCATAGCACGGTAGTGGTTTGGGGAGGTTTCTGCAGGTCTGCTCCCCACCCCTGCCTCGGAGGAATAAAGAGAATGTAGTTCCCTACTCAGGCTTTCGTAGTGATTAGCTTACTAAGGAACTGAAAGTGGCCCCCTTGTACAAGCTGAGCTGCCCAGGAGGGAGGGAGGAGTTCCCTGGGCTTCTGGCACCTGTTTCTAGGTCTAACCATTAGTACTTACTGTTCAGGGATCCAAACCAAGGTCTGAGAGACACAGACACCCCGAGCGAGCACCCCAAAGTGCACAAAGCTGAGTAACAAACTGCTGCCTTCAAACAGAACTAGACTCAGTTTTCAGTTCCATCCTAAAACTCCTTTTAACCAAGCTTAGCTTCTCAAAGGCCTAACCAAGCCTTGGCACCGCCAGATCCTTTCTGTAGGCTAATTCCTCTTGCCCAACGGCATATGGAGTGTCCTTATTGCTAAAAAGGATTCTGTCTCCTTCAAAGAAGTTTTATTTTTGGTCCAGAGTACTTGTTTTCCCGATGTGTCCAGCTAGCCCCGCAGCAGCTTTTCAAAATGCACTATGCCTGATTGCTGATCGTGTTTTAACTTTTTCTTTTCCTGTTTTTATTTCGGTATTAAGTCGTTGCCTTTATTTGTAAAGCTGTTATAAATATATATTATATAAATATATTAAAAAAGGAAAATGTTTCAGATGTTTATTTGTATAATTACTTGATTCACACAGTGAGAAAAAAAATGAATGTATTCCTGTTTTTGAAGAGAAGAATAATTTTTTTTTTCTCTAGGGAGAGGTACAGTGTTTATATTTTGGAGCCTTCCTGAAGGTGTAAAATTGTAAATATTTTTATCTATGAGTAAATGTTAAGTAGTTGTTTTAAAATACTTAATAAAATAATTCTTTTCCTGTGGAAGAGAAAGATGGTCTCCTGAATTTTTTTTAAATAACTCAATTGGTGTGATATGGCTGACTCCCATGTCCTTCCTTCTTGGCTTAAGCAAACCAGTTAATCTCAGTGTAATTTCATTCAGCTTTTCATGTGCTTTGTATTCAATCAGAATAAGCTTAGTCAACTTGGCAGGTAAATATTGGTTTAATTTTTTTTTTAACCCTTGCCAGGGGTACACGATCATCCTCTACCTCTCCAGAGTTAAGTAAAAAGCATATTTTCCCCCGCCTGCTTTCATCGTGGTCCTTGGAACTTGACAGAAAACCAAGGTATGATACCGTGGGCTGCAGTGTCTGGGGAGCCTGCTGCAGGGAGAGGCACATTGAGAAAAGATTTACTGGATTATTATGCAATACTAATTGATGCTGGGATAGCACCTCTTTGCCAAAGCAGTCTAGCTTTTTCAAATCTATGAAGGTCTAATGGATTTGCCATATCCTGTCTTATTCCTGCTGGAGGCAACATTCCATAATTATTTTCTACATCCTTCCTGGATTTCCTCTCTCCGGTGTGTTTGTGCGTGAATGAATATTGGGTGTTCCTTAGACAAGTGCTCTTATTGAAGAAAAAAAAAAAATTCCATGGGAAAGGTGGGAAATGACCCAGTCGTGTATTTTTGCCTCTCTCCTTTGCCTTGATTTGCAACATTCCTGTGGGATACTCCCTCTCAGGGGTATCGTGATGTTTCCTGATGGCCAGCGCCTGACTCAACAGGCTCCAGCTCCCAAAGCTGCCAGAACCCCCTGGTTGTGTGGAGCACAGCGGGGAAGCTGCCCCTAGGGATTTCTCAGTCAGGCAGAGGCTCCAGCTGACCATGAAGACTGCTTCACATGTCACCTTCCCTGTCTCCTCACGGGCCAGCAGGTGAAAGTGAGCATTTTCTGCTTGTGCTAGATGCATACGGAATGTACATAACTGTCCCCAGGCCACACAGGCTGTTGTGCAAGGAGCCGGGACCAGGAGTTGGAAACCTGGCATCGATAGCTGGTGGTCTATCACCTCCCTCTCCACGCCTGCTTTTGACTCGATGAAAGAAGAATTCCGAGCCCTTCCCGCAAGTCCTGTAGCAGGCAGATGGCAAATTCTGTGTGCCACCCTTTCTCCCAGCTCAGCGCCTGGGCTTCCAGGTCTCATGCCTGTGAAACACCTCAATTGCTCCATGAGTTGCCAGACCTCTCTTGCTAGACTTTTTTGGAAAAAGCCCAACAAATCAAACTTATCCTGGTGATACAGCCAGGGGTTGAAATCAAGACCAAACTCTTTTTGCATGACCCTCTCTTTTTCCTAGGCCACTGCGGGAGGAGTAGCTATGGGGAAAGGAGGAAGTGGTTGGAGCAACCTGAACTAAAAAAAGATATTTGAGGGTTCCACGCAGTCAACCCAGAATCCCCCTATGGGAACCTGCCCCTGTCAAATAGCCCCTAAAGTTGCAGCTGTCCCTCCACTTCATTTTCTGCTTCCAGTTCGCCCTTAACCTTTCCTCTAGCCCAGTTTTAGCGGCATCCAAGTGCGCTCAGAGGGAGGTGCGGGGGAGGGGTGTGCACCCCAGCCTAATGCCCACTGCGGACAAAGAGGACTTCTGTTTAAAAAGCGGGGTGTATGAGTTTCAGGGGGCGAAGCGCTGGCTCCGGGGCCAAGAAGAGGTGGCAGGAGGCAGGGGAGCGGAGGCTGGGGATCTGGCCGCCTTCAGACAGGGCGTGATCCGCCGGGCCTGCCGGGATGGTCTCACCCAGCGCTGACCTGCCTCGCCTGTTGACACAACGTCACGTTTCCGACTGCAGCCCTTTCATGTGCGGCCCGCGGCTAAAAGCGGCTGCCGGTTCCTGGAAGCAGACGTGCCTGGCACCGCGTCAGCAGAAACCTGATCCCCGGGGAAGCTTGGCAAGGCCTCGGGATCGCTCGGCCCCCAGAAATAGGGCCTGGCAGCGGGCGCAGGACGCCCCCCCCTTCCCTCGCGCCCAGCAGGAGGGAACTCGAGCGCTCCCCGTCAGGGGTGGGAGGGAGGGCTGGGTGGGGTAGGGAGCTGGATTTAGGCAGAGCACGGGGACCAGGGCTTAATTAACTAGAAGCTAGAAACTTCCCACGGGTCATCGCTCACTAATGCACGTCAAACAACCTAGAAGTATCATTATGGGTACTATTACAATTCACATTTTGTAGATAAATAAAAGCAGGCTCAGAGAGGAGAAGTAACTAGCCCAGGGTCACACAGCTTCTGAGGGGGCTAAACGTTTTGTAGGATGGTGGATCTGTTGGTCTGTAGATCTCCTAATTGGATCCAAGGAGAAGGCTTTCACAGAGTCGAGTTGTTAATGACTATAATAATACAAATATGGATATTTATTACTAATAAAAATTACAGCAAATGTGTTTGTAGCATTTACTATTTGCCAGGCACTCTGCAAAGTGCTCTACATACAATAACTTAATTATCACAGCAAGTCCATGAAATAGGTAAATTAGTATACAGTTAATGAACTGTAGGCACAGAAAGGGTAAGTAATTTGCTTAAAGTGACACAGCTCCAGTGATGAATTGTATTTTAAACCTAGGAAATTTGGCTGCAAAGTTTGCTTAACTATAAAACCACACTGCCCTTCTAATTAAGTTAATAGTAGTAAAAGTAGTAATAATTACAATTATTACTATCCTGTTTTGAGTACTTTCTTTGTGCCAGGTATTAACCACTTCATGTGAATCGCCTCTACTTACAGCAACTGTGAAGGGTAGATATTAATATGCCTCTTCTTTTAAGTAAAAAATTTTTAAACATGCTCATTTTACAGATGAGAAAACTGGAGTTCAAAGAGGAGAAATGCCTTATCTGAGGTGACACAACATGTAAGGGACAAAGCCATCCCATTTGCTGGTATGGAACTGCTTCTACACGGAGCTCCTGTGATGTTGGGCTTTGATACACATTATCTCATTTAATCCTCCAAATAGCCCTGCGGAGTCGGTACTGAGCATCATGCTCAGCATGTGGATGAGATAACCAACCTCATAATAAAGTTATTTGCCCAAGTCTTTATTTGTTCCTTACCAATGTCCCCACACACCATCCCACAGCGAAGAAGGGGCCCATCCTCTGGTTAGAGAAACTAACCCAGCATGACTATCACGGAATATGGGGGGGGGGGGCAGGGGAGGCACTCCATAGGTTGACTGTGCTAAGAACCAGAATCTGGGCTTGAAGAAACTATATCAAAGTATTGTGGGTCAGGCACGGTGGCTCACGCCTGTAATCCCAGCACTTTGAGAGGCCTAGGTGGGAGGATCACTTGAGACTGGGAGTTTGAGACTGGCCTGGGCAACATGGCAAAATCCCATCTCTACAAAAAATACAAAAATTAGCCAGGTGTGGTGGTGCATGCCTGTAGTCCCAGCTATTTGGGAGGCTGAGGTGGAAGGACCACTTGAGCCCAGGAGGCCGAGTTGCAGTGAGCATGATTGTGCCACTGCGCTCTAGCCAGGGTGACAGAGAGAGATCCTGTCTCAAAAAAAAAAAAAAAAAAAGGATTTTGGTATAAGCCTAGGGGACTAGCAAGGTGTGAACCACCTGGGGCAGGGCAGTTCTGCTGGAGGGAGGGAGAGAAGGAGGGAGGCAGAGACTGAGTTCCAAGCTCTCTCTCTGGAAGGGAGCCTCTGCAGGTTTAGAGACCGGGCCACCACAGCTCCTGTCCCTCTCAGATTTCTTTGGCCCACCCACACCCTGGCCTGTCTCTCCCCTTTGGCCACCATCCCAGTACTTGGCTGGTGAGGGGTATACAAGAGACTGCCTCGCTTTGTGGAACGGGCCAGGATCTCAGGTTAGAGAGGAGACAGCACGTGTTGAGTTCCCACATGGTTTCATAGGAAGACTGTGTGTTAACGGGATCGGCGTGTTCTCCTGAGACCCAGCTTTCCCTGAGGTATCTGCCACGTAGCGTGCAGGGAGGGAAGGCTCCAGGTTTCTCACCCTTCATCGGCAGGAACGGCTTCCTTTTTCTGTCTTACTGCTGTAATAGTTTGTTTGAACAAGAGTTTTATTGCTGAAAAGACATCACAAACAAGATTTGAAGATAACCTAGAAGTATCATTATGGGTACTATTACAATTCACGCCCCTTCCTCAGGCACTGCCTTCACCTCACTCGCCTCTTTCCCTAGGATCCAGAGGGAGGCTGAGGCCATTCAAAGCCACCCCAACACACACCCCACCCAGCACCACCCCCTGTTTATCCCCAGCCATCTGTTTGGCCCGACAACCACAGCAGAACATGAGCCGGGTGAAGCCTCTCCCATTGGCCATGGAAGCCACTGACATGCTCGTCTCGCGGCTGGGCCATCCAGTCTTGTGATGTGGCTGGATTTGGGCCCAGAAGGTTTCTTCCACTATAGATGGGGCCCTCCCTTCCCTGGGGATTCTCAGCAAAAATGTGGAGGTGGGACATGAGGGTGTCACAAGGCTGCTGGGTAGGGGGATCAGCCTCAGGCTGGGACCAAAGGAAGTAGGGCAGCCAGCCTCTGCTCACCCTAAGTCCCGGCCCTGTTCTCCCACGCCTGCACCCACTTTTGAGGAGGCAAAAGGGAAGAAACTTGTGCTTATTTGTTTGAAGAGCAAATATGTTTTTTTGAAACCGAATTGCGGATGGGGATGCGGGGGTGGGAATTATGCAAGGGTCTCAGGGGAATTCAAGCAGGGGGGGGAAAAGGAGGGAAAAACCACTCTCTTCTCAGATGGAAAAAAAAAACCTGTTTCTTAAAGTTTTAAATAAAATATCTAATATTTTGTATCTCTTTTACTGTGGAGAATTTAAAACATATTCAAAAGTAGAAACAACAATATACGTTTCTCCAAAGAAGATATACAAATGGCCAACAAGTGCATAAAAATATGTTCAATGTCATTAGTCATCAGAGAAATGCAAATCAAAACCACAATGAGATACCACTTCACACCCACTAGGATGGGTATGATATTAATAATAATAACAACAAAACAATGGAAAATAACAAATGTTGTCGAGGATGTGAAGAAGTCTGAAGCTTTTGTATATTGCCAGTGGGAATGTGAAATGATGAAACCACTATAGAAAAAAGTTTGGCAGTTCCTCAAAAAGTTAAATATGGAATTACCATATTACCCGATGCCATTTCTAAGAGTTACATACCCAAAAGAATTGAAAACAGGAACGCAAACAAATACATGGACACGTATGTTCATAGCACTGTTCACAAGAGTCAAAAGGTGTAAACAACCTAAATGTCAATCAACAGTTAAACGGATAAACAAATTGTGGTATATACATACAATGAGGTATTATAGAGCCACAAAAAAATTATTACAGTACTGGTATATGCTACAACATGGATGAACCTCAAAAACATTATGATAAGGGAAAGAAGCCTGGCAAAAAAAGTTACATGTTCTATGGTTCCACTCATATGAAATATACAGAATAAATAAATCCATAGAGACACAATACAGACTGATGGTTGCCAAGGGATGAGGGAGGGAGAAAATGGGAATAAAATGGGTACAGGCATTTTACTTTGCAGTGATAGAAATATTTTGGAACTAGCCATGGGGCAGGGGGGTTGCACAACATTGTGAATGTAATAAATGGCATAGACCTGTTCACTTTAAAATGGTTACTTATATGTAGATTTCACCTCAGTAATTTTTTAAGTAGATAGAATAGCGTAATGAACCCTCCACTTATCAGTCTCCCAGCCTCATTAGTCATTAATTCATGTCCAAGTCAGTTTCATCTGTAATATATACCCATCCACGTCCCCTGCTCATGTATTATTTTGAAGCAAATCCAGATATCCTATAATTTCATTTGTAAATATTTCTAAAATATTTAGGATATATCTCTAAAAGAAAAGTGTTATAAAAATGACTATAATATTATCACACCTAAAAATATTTAACAGTATAAAAAGGCAACCTTTTAGACTAGTTCTCTAAATAAGAATATAGATTGTTTTCAAATTTTAAAAATATAAAAAGTGATCAGAAAAAAGAATTTGTTCCCTGTCCCTATCCATCATCCTGGTCTCTATGCCTTCACCAAACTCACCCACAAGTAGGCAAGTAGGCACTGTTTTAACTACTTTAGAGTTTATTGGCCAGCCATGTTCGTTCATACCTGTAATCTCAGCACTTTGGAAGGCTAAGGTGGGAGGATCACTTGAGCCCAGGAGTTCAAGACCAGTCTGGGCAACATGGTGAGATCCCATCTCTATAAACAATTAAAAACTTATCAGGGTGTGGTGGTGCATGCCTGTAACCCCAGCTACTCAGGAGGCTGAGGTGGGAGGATAGTTTGAGCCCAGGTTGGAGTGAGCCATGATCGTTGCTACTGCACTCCAGCCTGGGTGACAGAGTGAGATCCTGTCTCAAAAAATAATAATGTTTTTTAAAATAGAGTTTATTTATGCCTGTGCGTATAAATATGGATGTGGGCTGTCATTTGTCCCCTTTTTCCACACAAAAATAGCATGCTGTTCACACTGTTCTGCACTTAGTATGTCTTGAGGAGCTATCCACATGAATACATAGAAAGGCTTTTAATTCTTTTTTACAACTACGCAGTATCTCATTGTATAGATGTCCTATAATTTACTTGACTAGTTCCCTATTATGAACATCTGGATTATTTTTGATCTTTTGCTATCACCAGCAGAGTTGCAATAAGTAATTTTATACACATGTCATTTTGCAAGTCTCTAACAATATTTATGGGGTAAACTCCCAGGTGGAATTGCTGGGTCAATGTCATGAGCATCTGTCATTCTGATGGGTATCACTCTGTGGGACACAGGTCATCCTCCTTTAGAATCCAATGTTGTTGCCTGTTTTGGAGGCAGTTTGCAAGAGATGTCAGAAAGCTTAGAACATGTATAACTTGAGACCAAATGATTCCACTTCTAGGAGTTATCCTAAATACGATTTTTAAAATTAATTAATTAATTTTTAAATAAAAAATAGAGACAGGGTTTTGCTATGTTGACCAGATTGGTCTCAAGCTCCTGACCTCAAGCAATCCTCTTGCCTTGGCCTCCCAAAGTGCTGGGATTATAGGCCTGAGCCACCACGCCCAGCCAAGAAGTTATTAATCAGGTTTTCAAAGACTAAGCTACAAGATTGGACATCTTTGTGCCATTCATAGGTAAAACAAAAAAGGAGGAAGAAAGGGAGGGACAGAGGGAAGGAAAGAAAAAGAAAATCAGAAAAATGGCTGAGAAGGAGACTGGTTGAATAACTTACAATATATGCAAATACTGGAATCCTAATAGTCACGAAAAATTATGTTAGGAAAGTAAATTTATTATTTTTTATTTGTTGTAAAGGGAGAAAAAGTAGGCTGCAAAATAGTATGTTCAGACTGGTCCCATTTAAAAAAAATAATAATATGTATGCTTCTAAATGTTCTCTCTGCCTCACTTTGAACAACTGTAAAATGAGGACAATAGTATTTAGCCTAGTGAGTTGTTGTGAGGATTAAATGAGTTTCTTTTTTTTTTTTTTTTTTGAGACGGAGTCTCGCTGTGCTCCCAGGCTGGAGTGCAGTGGTGTGATCTCGGCTCACTGCCGCCTCCCGGGTTCACGCCATCTCTCCCGCCTCAGCCTCCCGAGTAGCTGAGACTACAGGCGCCCGCCACCACGCCCGGCTAGTTTTTTGTATTTTTAGTAGAGACGGGGTTTCACCATGTTAGCAGGTGGTCTCGATCTCCTGACCTCGTGATCCACCCGCCTCGGCCTCCCAAAGTGCTGGGATTACAGGCTTGAGCCACCGCGCCCGGCCTAAATGAGTTTCAATGTCTAAGATGCTTAGAACAGTCTCTGGCACAGAGGAAGCTCCATGTCAGAGTTAGCTAAAATTAGTGTTATTATTATTATTATTTTAATAATTGCCAGAGGAAAACGGTCTGGCAGGCAATACAATAAAATTTTAACCACCTTAGCAGGATTTAGAATTATTGGTTATTGTTTCTTTAAGATTTTTGCTTTTCTATATTTTCCTTTTTTAAAAAATTGTATAATGAACATGTGGTATTTCTGTAATATCTATCATGAAGTGCCACAAGAGGAGTGGAGTGGGGGACGAGAATGGAGTTCAAGGTTGTCATGGACATTTGCACCCGCAGTCCGAGGGGATGATGTGCAAAGGAGAGGCAGGATGCTTTTTTGGTTTTGCCAGCTCAGCCTTGGGCAGGGCCAACCCTACACCCTGGGAAGAAGGCAACTCCCTTAAAAGGGTGAATGGAAGATCTGGAGAAGGCTCTCCCTGCCCACATGCACATAGGAGCTTTTAACAGGGACCTTAACAATTAGAGAGATGAAAAGGGGTTCGAAAAAGGTGCGAAGAACACTCAATAGGCTGTGAGGGTCCTGGGATGGGGGCCCTAACTCATTCACTGCAGTGCTCCCAGTGCCTAGCCTGAAACAAAGCTGAAATTCAGTCAATGTTTCCTGAATGAACAAGTGAATCCAGACTCTGCTGTGTGACCTTGGGAAAGTTCTTTCACCTTCCTGAATCTGTTTCCTCATCCTTCAAATGGGGATATTAGTGATCTTGTAGAGATTGCTGTGAGGATGAAAAGAAATCCTAATGTAGAATATACAGCATCTAGCTACAATCAGGTATGTGGTAGGTGCTCAAGCATTTGTTGATTGAATGAATGAAAGGAGCCTGGGCAACATAGCAAAAACTCTGTCTCTACAAATAAAAATTAAAACATTAGCCAGTCATGGTGATATGGACCTGTAGTCCCAGCTACTCAGGAGGCTAAGGTGAGAGGGTCTTAGCCTGCAGTGAGCCATGACCATGCCGCTGCACTCTAGCCTAGGTGACAGAGTGAGACCCCATCTCAAAATAAAAATTTAATTCAACTTAAAAATAAAAGAAAATAAAAAAATAAATGAAAGGAAACAATGACATTTATAGGAACTTATTCACTCTAAAGTGTAAATATATACATATGTGTGTGGTGTATATATGAGATCTCTCTGATATATATATCAATCAGACTGTGTGCTAAGTGCTGTACTAGGCACTATGCATGCATTATCTGGTGCAATCTCCATTTTTACATTTACAGAAATTGAGACTTAGTGAGATTAAGTGACTCACCCAAGGTCACACAGCAAGCAGATGGCACAGACAGGATTTAACTCAACATATGACTCAAAAGTCCTTGCTGAAAGAGCCCAGGATGTCAAAATGGACAGAGGCATGAGGAGGGAAGAGGGTCAGAGATAAGCTCCCCACTGTGTGCACACTGCTGAATTACCCATCAGGTAGACCTGGTGTGTGCTCAAAACACTGGGAAAGCAGCCCCAGCTCCCTTCCATTTCCCCAAAATTGGAAAATAATTTCTTTTTGATATTTCCAAGAAAAACATGGAGATCATCTTATGATTAAAATCGAGGCCTTATTGGGGTTTCTCTAAATTTATTTTAAGCTTTGTGTTTTCAGTTTGCACTTCATATGGGGAGGAAAGATCAGAATACTCATGTCTTAGGACCTTAGCGCTGAATTGCCCTGGGGCTTAAGGCCTCTCTACATCTTATCCAGCAAGGTGAGCCTAGGTCTCCAGAGTCTGAGCGGGAGGCAGCATGGACACCCACCTGGCCCCTTCTTCCCCTCGGGCTCACGTGGCAGTGCGAGGGGTGTTTCTTAGGGCAGTGGCCTTGGCTCCCCTGACCCGTGGCTTCTCACGGTCTGCCTTTCAGACAAGGCGCTCACTGTCCAAGCATGTTCCAAGCCACCGGCTCAAGTCCCAGCCAGCCCAGGCCTGTTGCAATGAGTCAGCCTTTCACTGGGGAAAAACGTGGTGACTGGTCTCCAAGTCATTTTTTCCAACTTGGCCCTTGTCCTGGGCTGGGTTTGGGGAGACCTTCATTTTTCCCTTTGGGATTCGGCTGCCTATGAGGTATTCCCAAGGGTCCCTAGGAAGCAAGGGGGCTGGAATTCCTTTGAGGCAGGTTGAGTTGCTGTAATTCAGCCAAATGAGGGTCCCTCAAGGTGCCCAATTGGTCTCTCTCCACCTCCCCCTGCTCATATAAGCAAAAGTAAAGGCCACAGAAGGTAAGTTCTTATGGCCCTTACAGTTGTGCCCAATCATGGGGAGGGGGATGAGGAGAGGACTTATAAAGTCAAGTCCACCCTTGGCATCTTTCACAGGCCGTGCTAGCGCAGCAACCTCAGGTGCCTGAAGCTTGAGGCACACTTGGCCTCTTATCAACTAGTGGTGCCTTCCTGAAAGATGATGCTCCCTTGGGCCCCTTGAATTTTAAAGCAAGCACCATTACCTTCGGTGAACCCTCCTGCCCCCAGCTATATGCCAGGGTTCTGGTTTCAGAGCTGTTCACCTTACCATCCCGTCTGACTCACCTCTGGCTTCCCAGGGCTTTCTGAGGCCTCCCCTGCATGGCCAGGCTGATATGGATTCTCCCTAGGTGACCAGGTGGGAGGGAGGAAGAGGCAATGACCATTAGTCAAAGGGTGGTGAGGGTGTGTGAGGGCAGGGGTTTAGCCCTCGTGGATCCCACAGTAAATTCATTCTCTCTGGAGGAAACATTAACCTCACTGCTTCTGAGGCCCTTACTTAGAACCTCCTATTCATTTTTGCAATTAGCAAAGATTAACCTCTCAATAATTCATTCATTCAGGACACAGTTATTTATTGGTACCTTTACATGCCAGGTACTGGGCTTTGGGGCTACAATGGTGCACAGAAGAGTCATGCTCCTGTCTTTCTGAAGCTGATAGTCTGAGAGGGACACAGATAGCAACCTGGTAATTACACAGATAGATACCAGCAATCCAGTATCGATATGCAGGAAGAGCACCGAAGAGCAGACAACAGTGCCTGGAGTGGTCTGGGGTGTTCAGAGAAGGTTTGCTTGAGATAGATGGATAAGTGGGCATTGTCTCGTTGAGATGGGGGGAAACACATTGGGGTCCTAACCCCGAGTACCTAGATAGTGAACTTATTTGGAAATAGGGTTTTTACAGAGATAATCAAGTTAACATGAGGTCATTAGGGTAGGCCCTAATCTTGACTGGTATTCTTATCAGAAGGGGAAATGTGAACACGGAGACAGACATGTGCACAGGAAGAATGTCATGTGAAGATGAAGGCAGATATCAGGGTGACGTTGGCTGTTACAAGCCATGGAATGCCGAAGATAGCGAGCCAACACCAGGAGCTAGGAGAGAAGCTTGGAACTGATGCTCCCTCACAGCCTCAAAGGAACCAAATCTGCTGACACCTTGATTTTGAATTGTTAGCTTCCAGAACTTGAGATCATACATTTCTGCTGTTCAATCCACCCCAGTTGTGGTCTTTTGTCAAGGTAGCCCTAGCAGACAAACTCAGTGTTCCAGACAGAGGGAACTGCACATGCAAAAGCCCTGGAAGTGAGGGGAGGGGATGTGGGTTTGAGAAAAGAGGCCGCCCTGGCTGGAATGCAGAGTCAAAAATTCCTGTATCCAGACTGACAGGGAAGCAGATCAGTGTGGGCACCTCAGGCGACTATTAAAATAGCTATAAAAATAACCACCTTGAAGATGTGTAGAGTGTACCAGATAAGCCTGGGGAGGCAGGAAGTGACTAGAGCTGTGCAGGGGCTTCCTTGTAGGGGTAGAAGTGGAGCCTTTAACCTCAAGAGAGAGGAGAAGCTAGCAGGTACACAGGCGACCTAGAGCCTCATTTGAGCTGTGTGACTTTGGGAAAATGGCTGTCTGTCTCTGTGCCTTAGTTCTTCGATCTCTCCCCTTATCTGGGACATTCTGTGACCACGTGACTAGCAGTGTGCTCTGTGTTGCTGTCTCCTGTGTGGTGAGCTGGTGCGAAGGAAGAGAAAAGAATGAAAATAGCATTGGACACAGTTGTGGAGCTTATGGAGCTTATAGTCTAATTGGGGAGATGACATTCATTCGGGCCACTGCACAATGAAAGTGCTAAGTGTGTGAAGTGTACAATGTCAGACATTCTGAAGGGTTAAAGTGGTGGCTTCCCTCATGGGGGATCTCGAAGTCTAGTGGGACCCCAGATACAATTTCTATGGTGTGCATCTCCACTCGCCCCACCATTCCATAATTAATAGGTCTGGGGATGGGTGGGGTTAACACGTGACCCAAGCTGGGCCAATCAGGATCTTTCCCTGGATTTTTTAGTCAGGAGCTAAGGAAGAAAATGCAGTTTCTCTCTTGGAGGCTATGTTTGCTGCTACATAGAGAGGGCTGACGTGAGGGAATGGAGCTGAGAGGCTGACCCAGAGAGAGACAAGAGGGAAGGAGAGAGAGAGAGGGAGGGAGGGAAGGAAGGTGGGAGAAGAGAGGGAGAGAGAGAGAAAGAAAGAGAGAAAGAGAGAGAGAGTGCGAGCGAGCCCCTTGGCTTCCCTGGCCCTGCTGCATCTCTGCCTTTCCCCTGGGCTTACTGGAGATACCCTACCCACACATTCTTCACCCTGCATTTATCAGTTTCCCCTAGGCTAGCTGGAGAGGAGTTTCTGTCACCTACAGTCCTAGGAGTTCTGATTCCCACAGGGATCCCCCGTGTCAACCTCAGCCATTGTTTATGAGTGAGGTGATGAGACCCTGCTCTTGGCCCTAGTGTGTGCTATTGTGTCAGGGACCAAGAAGCTGTCCCTGCCCTCTTAGGAAACCCTTCATGGAGCCAAAGGCCATCTTCACTCTTTACACTACAGGAGGCGCTTGAGTCTTCACCATGCCTCTGTGAGCCTGGCCACATTTGTTTCACTTTGCAAACCCTGCAAGTCAGGAATTAAATCTCCCCCACCCCAGTCTTACAGTTGAGGAAACTGAGGCTCAGAGGAGGAGAAATGCCTTTGTATCTAAGTGGCAGAGCCTTTTTTGGGCCTCACAGTCCTTAAGATGGTACACGTGAAACAGCAGCCCAAGCCCTGATCAGGGAAAAAGTAATCATCTTTCATTCATGAATTCATCAGTGAACGTTTCCCTACAAAAAAAGAAGAGACATTACCAAAGGTTTGTGCAGAGCCTGAAGTGCAAATTCAGGAAGGTAAGCACAACCTTTTATCTCTATAAGCCCAGTAATCACTATACACACAAGGTCAGGCATAAGTTAGGTGCTTAAGAGATGTTTGCTGAAAAAGAATAAGAGCAATGTCTTAGTTACTGAGTGATTACTATGTGCCAGGCACTATTTTAAGTGATTCATGGGTATTCATTTAGGTAACCCTCACCCAGCCTTGTAATGTTGGTACTATTATGTCTGATTGATTGATTGATAGATTGATTTAGACAGGGTCTCACTCTGTCACGGAGGCTGGAGTGCAGTGGCATGATCATAGCTCACTGCAGCCTCAAACTCCTGGGCTCAAGCAATCCTCTCACCTCAGCCTCCTAAGTGGCTGGAACTGCCTGGCTAATTCTTTATTTCCTATTTTTTGTAGAGACAGGATTCAGTATGTTACCAGGACTGGTCTCAAACTCCTGGGCTCAAGTGATCATCTCACCTCGCCCTCCCGAAGTGCTGGGATTATAGGCATGAGCCACTGCCTCCAGACTATTATGCCCATTTTAGAGATGAGAGGGCTACAGCAGAGTAACCTCTCTGAGCTCACACAGCTAGTAAATGTCAGAGGGACCTCCAGCCTTCTGGCCTCAAGTGCACTCCTGACCTTAGACTGTATTGCCTATCTTCATATGATTGAATGAATGAATGAAAGCACATCTGCTAGCTACAGGAATACACATACACATACATTTCAGGAGAGCTTTCACTGGAGAGAGCTACAGGGTTGTGAAGCCTGGAGAAATTTAAGCTCCAGAAAATTCTCCAAGGAAGTGGGATGCCATGAGCCTTAAATCTGTGTGGGACTTTTGAATATGAAAAGAGATATGCACATTTAGTTCTGGAATCTCCATATACTCAAATCAACATAATAATTGCTTTGAGAGCTTTCTCTGAATGAATTGAGAGCTTTCCCTGTGCCCCACACCCTGCCTACTTATCTTTGAATCTTCCTGCCCTCTCTGTGTTAGGGTGTCAAAGGCCTGTCTAATCACTCTCCTAAACCACTCTCCCCTCATCTCCTGCAGTCCACAGGAAGGTCAGCCTCGTGGGGTGTTCTTTGCAAAGCCACAGAATCTTCCCTTGATAATGACCAAGTTTCCAAGGCAAAAATGGACACATGCTTATGGCATCCACAGGCCCAAAGAGTTGAGGCCAGAGAGACCAAAAGTCCAGGATCTGAGTTGGCCAAGATCCAGGCTTGGAATAGAGCCAAGGATGCAGGTGGACAGGCCTCGGGGTAGATGACAAAGCTGGGGGAATTCTCTTTACCTGCTTTTGCTGGAGGGCTAGATTTCACTATCTCCACTGAAGATCTTGAGAGCACCCATTTCACCCTGGGGCAGGGACGGGCTGCCTGTTAGCTTTGAGGCCAGGCCAACCACAAGACAAGAAAAGACACATCCCAACTTCAAAGGGCTGCCGAAGACCAGGGCAGCTGAGCAGAGCTTCATGCCCCCCAAGTGAATCTAGCTGCATCAGGCTCAGGCAGGTGCAGGGTAGGATGGAGCGCTGCCTGCAGGCTCAAGGGGAATCTTAATTGCCAATGGGAGATTAGATTGGTATTTATTTTCCATCCATCTTCATCTTTTAGGAGAACAAATTCTGGGATCTTCTGGGGGAGTCCTAGGGATAAAAGTCCTTAAGGGAGAAAAATGGCCCATAAAAATGCATCCTCACTCCTAGACATATTATTTTTATATAAAAATTTCTTTCTTTATCAAAAAGAGATGAGGTTTCACTATATTGGCCAAGCTGGTCTCAAATTCCTGGGCTCAAGCAGTCCTCCTGGCTCAGCCTTCCCAAGTGTTGGGATTACAGCTGTGAGCTGCTGCACCCTGCCCCTAGACACATTAGAACTTTAATAAGTTTGGAGCATTTTATTTGCTGCTGGAATTATGCTAAGCACTTTATATACATGACCTTGTTTAATCCTCAGGATACCCTAGTATAGAGATGATGACTCTCCTTACTATATGTCCCAAGGAAACAGAGGCTCAGAGACCTTCTCAATGTCGCACAGCTAATAAGTGTCGGTCAGGAGTCAAACCCAGGCCTGACTTCAAGTTCCTCGCCCTTAACCACAGTACTATGTTAGGTCCTTTTTAGGCACACATGTTCACTAAAACCTAGATGTTTTGCTTGCATCTGTTTATCCAACAAACATGTATTAAGTACCTACTATGTGACAGGCCCTGTTTTAGATGCTGGGGATATATAGGGCATAAATAAAACAGACAAAAACCCCTGCTTTCAGTGAAATCAAAATAACATTAAAAGGCAAAAGATTATTGTCTCCCATTTTATAGCTGAAGCAACTGAGGTAGGTATTCCTTTTCGTCTGCTTACCCCTCAGATTCATTTATTCACGTGTTTTGTTGTTATTGCTG